ATTCAGAGCTGAGAGATAATACGTTATTGAGTAGCATGCACGGCATAAGCAGATGTATTTACCATGTCACAAGGCAAATGATCAGATACTGGCCAGTCCTAGGGTTCTGGTGAAGTGGCCAATAATGTCGCTGAAGATCCCGATGTTATCTTTATCCCAGTGCTGGCCCCATCTTCCCTCAGTTACAAAGGGCTACAGCACCTGCAAGTGCCTTATGCAGATAGTACCACATTCACACACAAAAAGGAGGGTCCCCTTTCTCCTTTGCATTGCTATTCATTAGAGAGAAAAACATTTTGCAGAAGGCCCCAGGAGACTTCCCATCAATTTCCATGGTCAAGATCGGGTCATATGCCTTTCCTCTGGTTGTAAGAATGGTTGGGAGGCAAGGGTCTCACACCTTAAGCCTCTTTATTGGGAAGTGGGCTTTGCCAGCCAAGAAAGGAATGCCTGCAGGAAGGCAGCCGGCCACACCTGCCTCATGTCTATCCCTACCCCTTCCATTCTCCCAGCCACCCTCCAGGGAGTCGCTAGGCCTGAGTACTACTCTTGGCCAGGTGTTATGCAGTTCTTGGGGAAAGACAGAAGGCTTTCTGCTGTCTCTTTTGTCACCTTAATTCTGATACTTTTATTAAAGCAGCTTCCAGTCCATCCTGCAACCAGATGGATAACTGAGACCATCTCTCTTTCAGGCTCCACGTCTCTCAATGAGGAGGGATTCTGAGTTAAAATTATGGGCTTTCGTACCAGATCATACAATTCACATCGAAGTTCTGTCTCTTACTAATTGCATGACCTTGGATGGTGTTTAATTTCTTTATAACTAAATTTCTCATCTTTTAAATAAGGGTAATAGAAGTACCTGTCTCATAGGTCTGCTACAATGAGTAAAGATATAACACAGAATGGCTTTTGACATATAGTTCGTCTTCAATAAGTACTGTTTTGCCAGTCGTTATTGTTCTTCACTTTATATCCAATTAAATCTAAATTTCTTAAATGACCATTTAAGATCCTGTAGTAGCTGAGTCCAATAAAGTTGTAGCAAACTTATCTTAAAATGGACTATTGTCCCTATTAAGCCATGAACTATTTGAGGGAAGGGTTATATTTTATAAGGCTAGGATTTAGGACAATCTTTGGTCCAAGCAGTTTCTCTCTGGTCACATATGGTTTTCACGCAAGCGAAAAGGCCTGTTCATTACACAGCTTCTGTCTGTTTCTCCACGTGCCTTGTGTCTACAGTGTCCTTTATATCACCCCAGTCCTTCTGGGCTCGACTCAAAAGCAGTCTTTTCCATGATGGGGTCTCTTCCCCAACTCTAACTGGAAAAATGCCAAACCTCCAGAAAAGTGGAAAGAGCAGGACAAGAGCACTGTGACCGTGACGTTTAGCGCTTGTTAATATTTCTGCCATCTGCTGTCCGTCTGTACAGCGTCCTTTCTTTTTCTTTTGAAAGTCGTGAACATCAGGACACTTTACATTCAGCATGTGTCACCTAAGGAACCAGGTCATCGTCCTACATAACCACAATATCATTATTTCATCCAAAAATGTTAACATCGATTTGACGATACTATTTACTATAAAGTTAGTTTATTGTTTTTTCCTGGGCAAACAGATCATTTATCACTGTAGGAATTAAGAAATGCCCCAAAGAAATGGCAATGTGCCTTGAGGGTCTTTTAGTAGAATTATATTCTTTTGTGGGTGTTCAGAAAAGTTTCTGGAATTTCGTTGTACCTTTCTGCCCGAGAGCTCTCTGAGCAGTCACTTTAACAGCTGGTGGTCTGTGTTTTAAAGGGGCATCCAGTGGCTTTACCTACAGCCACTACTGCTCCAGACACCAAGCAGGGACATTCGCAGCAGCAGCATCTGTCTGTCCTTGGTCTGCCATCCGAGCTTGAGTTTCCAAAGTCAGGCCAAGTGTCAGGTGCAAGAAGATTGAGCCTTCACAATGGGGTACTGGTTGGAGCACCTGGATGACAAGCCTGGATCTGTCCCTTTGGCTACGAGGTGTGCTCGTATTCTGGGGCAGCCGCAACAAAATATCGCTTTGTTAAAACAGAAATTCACTGTCTCACAGTTCTGCAGGCTAGAAGTCCAAAATCAGGGTGTCAGGAGGGCCGTGCCCTCTCTGAGGTCTCTAGGGGAATAGTTTACTCCTTTCTCCTGGTAGCTCGTGTTGCTGGCAATCCCTGGCTTTCCTTGACTTGCAGATGTCACCCCTCCATTCTCTTGTGGCTGTCTCCTTCCCATCTGTCTCTATGTCTCGATTCCATTTCTTATAAGGACACCAGTTATATTGAACTGAGCCCACCATACTCTATTATAATCTAATGTTAACTAATTACAACTGCAACGACCCTATTTCCAAGTAAGGTCACATTTTGAAGTGATGGGGATTAGGACTTCAACATATCTTTGACCATAATTCAACCCATAACATGAGGTCTTGGGCTAGCACCTCTGAGCTTCCGTTTTCTTGAAGGTTTGCTGGAAATTTTAAATGAAATACAAGAGAGTTATGCCCTATAATACTTGGCTTTAGAGTTTCTAATATGTGATTTTTATCCAAGTTTTTCTAATTATCCTCAGTGTCCTGTGTACCTTCTTCTTCCTTTACTTGGACCGAGGCGCCAGTTAAGAGTCATACATTGCATTTTGTCTCTATTCCCCTTTAATTCAGGAGTGTTTCTCAAGCCTTCGTGTGTGTGAGAACCTCCTGGAGAGCTCGTGAAAACAGCTCTCTTGGGTCCGTCTCCAAAGGTTTTGACTCGATAGGCCAGAGTGGAGCCCGTGAACTGTCGTTTCTAACAAGCTGGCAGGCAGGTCATGCCAAAGCTGCTGGCCCAAGGACCACACTTTTGTGAACCACTGATCTAGAAAGGAGGTCGGTAAACTTTTTCTGTAGCGGGCCAGGTGGTGGAATACTTTGCCCTTTGCTGGCTTTGCTGCAACTCCTCAATTTTGCCATTGTAGTCAAAAGCAGTCATACAGACAATATGTAAACAAATGGGTGTGGCTGTATTCCAATGACACTTGATTTACAAAATAGCTGCCTGGCCAGAGCTGGCCTTCAGCCTGTTGTTTGCTAGCCTGATCTAGAAATAGTACTCCTGTTTTTTTTTTTGGAGGGGGGGCGGGGAGGAGGGAAGTTTCCTTCAGAGTATTCACATTTTGGAATTGTCCAGTTCGGTTTTCTTATAGAACGTTTCACAATCTGGATTTGATTGTCTCGTTCTGATTAGATTTAGGTTATATCCTGGCAAGAATACCACAAAAGTGACATTTTGTACTATAGGGAAAAACTGTGAAAGACTTCGAAGTGGACCAAAAATATTATTGGGTAACGTCAGTATGTATGGAGAAATTAAATTTGTTTTTCTCCTGTTAATTTGTTTTATGGCAATTTAATTATTAGACCAGCCGAATAACCTAGAAGGATAGAGGGAAATTTTTCTGCCTGGACAAATCGTTTCTCGATGGTCTACAGTTAGACACCTGAGCACTCTATTCCAGCCACTACAATTTCCCTTTTTTGGCTTGTTTTACTCTTCGGTGGTACAGCACAGTGGCTAAACCATAGGCTCTGGGATTGTCTGGCTTGGGCTCAAACCCTGGCTTTTGCACTTACTAGCTTCACGACCTGCAAGTCGTTTAATCTCTTTCTGCACCTCGATAGTTTATCTGTAAATGGTGAAATAAAGACACCTCTCTTATAGAATTGCCTTAGGATTAAATGAGCTAAGCGAAAGCACCAGAATGTTACCTGGCACACAATTACCCGCTCAATAAATGTTAACTATTATTGAATCACGATTATTTGTATGTGTTTGAATCCGAGGTTTGCCACATCCCACAGTGTCTTTGGGCAAGTAACTTAACAGGTCTGTGCCTCCCGTTCCCCACCTGTAACAAGGTTTCCGCTTCGTAAGTTTCCGATTCAAGCAGTCTGGAACAGAGTAGGCACTTAAAAAAGGTGAGCTGTTATCATCGTGATTGTTCTGTATATTTTATTTGCTTTAAGACAAGGTAAGTCGAGTTCAAGTCTTTTCAGGGTCATCCTTTTACTTTCACTGTGCCTAGCTCAGAGACATTCCCACGGTGTGGGTTCACCAAACTACTTGAATAGAGGAATTAATAAAGCTTCGTTGAGTGGCACTCTCTTGAGTTACACTTTTGCGTCCTTTAAGGATCACGTTGCTATATTTGTGCCTCCTTCCTCTTGTGGGAAGCTCATGCCTGCGAAATAACATTCCCACAGCAGGTTGTGAGAGGCGCTGCTGGGCGAAGGTTGGAAAGCCCCGAGCAGGGCTCCGCGATGTGGCTCCGCGGGGCAGGATCCAAAGCAACACAGCCGGGTGATGGCATTTACCGCTGTGCCCTTGGGTCCAAGCCCTCGTATGCCCCCCCTCCCTGTCTGTCCGTCGGGGTGGGAAACGGTCACTTGAAGTTGGGAAGCGCCCACGTGGCGACGCAGAATATCCGCTGGGAGAAACTGAGGCCGGGGCCGGGTCCCGGCGGGGGGCCCCGGCCTCCGCCCGCACCT